TTTGGAGGACATCTGAACACATCGCCATGCAGATACTTCCACCCCACTTCCTTATCTTCCTCTTCATCTCCACCAGAAAATCTAGGCATATATCCAGCACGGAAACATTACATATAAACACAGCCATGCACACTGGTCCATAGCAAGTAGCAGTTTTAGGGCAGCATTATTATAACTAAGAATCACAACATAATATTACTTCCTAAGGTCATTCTTCAGGTGTTGCATTAGAACCACGACGAGAAACCCTGTCAGCAGAAAGGTGATAACAACTGAATTTATGAATGAGAACCAATGAACTGTCTGCAGCAGGGGAAGTAGGGAAGCCTTTGAATATCTAACCATTCTGCTCTTAAGCTTAGTTGGGGCCTCCTTCCAGAACACTGAATAACTGAACTCAACATCAACCTCAATATCATCTGTTATATCAACAGTGTGATTCGGATCACTAAAGGCGTGTGCTTCAAGGACTTGATTGTCATTATATAGAACATCAAACCGAACATGACTGAAGAGGAGATACTTGTTGGGTCCTTTTCCATCAAAAGTCCAATTTTGGTCCTCTACTTTCCCAATGAATCCCCAAAATGGGAGGTCATCATAGTAATTTTGAAAGTAGAAATCGTTAGCGACAGCACTCCTGAATTTAGCTACCTCATCACTGCTGAGGTTCTTACGGCACAGAAAAACATGGGATTTATTCACTGCAAACTTCAACTCATACAAGGTGTTGGTTAAACGGTCTCCATTGAGAACCTCCCTAATGGATTCCTTCTTGTGTATCACTTGGCCTGTCAGTTAAAAACGAGAGGTTCAAAGCATGAAAGGCCAGAACAGAATGTCAAGTGCACGCTTCATAATGTGCATTGTTACATCAGCTACTTATGTGTTTGAGATGTAATAGTAAAACAAATAAGAGGAAACATAAACACTTTGCCTCATCGAAAGACCTACATAGTCTAGAAAACGGGTAGCTGGGGTAGGTACCAGACATAAATGCTAACCTGGAGAGCAGAAAGGCAAGTCATAGTATTCATAAGTTTCACTGCAAGAGAATAACAGATAACAAAGGGTAAGAGTTTGTAGTCAAATGTGAGAGTTCCAAATGATTTAAACACTCAACAAGTTAATGCCCATTAGCTAGGAAAAAAGCCACCCATTCCAAAGCTCCTCAATGAAACTCTTTAAACCTCAACAATGTAATGACTCCTAATGAGGAAACAAAAACCTTCTCTATCTGCTTATGTCATCCTAAATCAACAACAACACCCCAGTGTAATCTCACAAGTGGGGTCTTGGGTGGGTGTATACATGCCTTTCCACTACCTATAACAGATAGAGAGACTGTTTACGGAAGACCCATGGCTCAAAGGACAAAGAAAACAGATCAGCACAATTCCACAAGAACATAAAGGTCACACAATTAGCACTGACAAAATGATGAAAATCCATTTATAAACACCCTAAAAACCTAGCCACAAAACAGGGCCTTGAAAGCGCTGATGGAGTGAAGGATTTTAAATATATCTATTCTTATACTCCGCACGTGATTGAAGCATAAAATGACGGTTTCTCTTTCTAAAAGCTTCTATGGGGATTATGTTGGGATAAGCCGTTAAGCTTCTTTCTTTTACATTTAAATAAAAATACCCAAAAACATGCTACTATGCAGGGGTGAGATCTTCCGTGCAAATTCCTCCAACTTGCTCAGACATTCTATTAACTAAGTTAGGGGCTGTTTGTTTCAGCCTCTTAATGGTTCAGATGTCTGAATGGTTCAGCACTTAATGGTTCAGACTGTTTGTTTCAGCCTCTTAATGGTTCAGATGTCTGAATGGTTAAGAGATTTGCCTCTGAATGGTTAAGTATTATACAGAGTCTGAATGGTTAAGACCTCTTATCTGAATTGATCAGACATTTGCCTCTGAATAGTTAAGCAATATACTAGCTCTTAATGGTTCAGACCTCTTACTGGTTCAGCACTTAATGGTTTAGACCTCTTACTGGTTCAGCACTTACCCATTCAGAAGTTGCCAAACAGCCCCTTACTCACAAAGGGATTCTTTATTTCATTTGTGTGTTCAAAGACTCGCTAAATTCTACCTCTTTAGGTAGACACACTTCAGGTCTAATTAGTGGCACGTCCCATAAACTGCTTCTAGTTGGAACCATTTTTACCCATTTCATCACTCACATTGCAATTGTTCAAACCTCTCAACTCTCATAAAACATGAAATTGGCTCATCCAACTCTGCACTTTTGCAATTCCCAAAGTGAACTCTTACCTTACAGTGCAGCAATTAACTCAGAAAATATACTAGCTACATTACCAATCCATTATGCAAAAAAAAAAAAAAAAAAAAAAACAGAAGGGATTTCTTTCTGATATATCTTGTGCCATTACCCAACTTTACCTCAGATTCAAAAGCCCACCTCACGGGTTAACCCAATACCACAGGATATTTGATGACCAGAGCCGAATAATAGAAGCAGTGCTGAACTTATGGAGGAAAAAAAGAACCAAGGGTACCTGGGATTGTTGAGGGGACCCACTTTGTTGACATAGAAAGGGACTTCATCTCCTACATTGTAGCGACGATCGTTTGGTAAGGCCAGCGCCGTGCCAACTAATGTCAGCAGAATGGCCTGAAGACGATGAGCGAGAATATCACCCATTGGAATTGGAATAGAATGCAAATGTTGGAGAGCTCGATCCGCTCATTGTATGCGCTTCATTTGGTACCAATTCTTATATCCTCTAGATTTTACGAGTGGGAATATGGTGCAGTAATTACTCAGTTCTTCAAAAAAAAATTCCTAAGAAGTTATTTTTTAAATCATTTTAAATAAAAAATTATGTGAAATTTAAAAAAAAATCATATTAAAAAATTACATCAAACAGATCTATAAAACTATAGGAACATCACTATTGTATTTTATCAAATAAGTAACGAAATCAGGCAAACAAAGTAAATAAAATTTGACCCTTGAAAAGAAAACGAGAGAAGAAAGTGCACTAAGAAGGAAAATGATTTTCCTTCCATTTTGATGAAGAAAAGGAGAGAAACCTTTTTTCTTTTCTTCTCCTTTTGAATTCCACGAACCAAACATAGTATACATATTTTCTTTCCTAGAATTTAATTGGGGAAATTCTTGGGAAGAATTTAAGACCAAACACGAGAAAAACATTGATGGAAAGGTTTTTTCTATCTCCAGGAAAGAAGTGCCATTCTCGCTACAATAATCTTCCTTGTGCCGTTCCTACTTCAGGGGGTCCTTCTAAACTTAGTGGCCATGTCATTCAGGGCCACGTCAGCAGTTCCTTTCGCGACCATACTGGTTATTCTTCTTATACATGCCCTTGTTGCAATCCCATTGCTTATACTCGGCGGTGGGGCCGGGTACCGTTTCAGGTCAGAATTTCATCAAGCACCTTCTTCTTCCCAGAAGAAATCTGCAAGGGAAATTCCCTCACTCAAGTGGCATCAAAAGACTCCCTGTCAAATGTTTCTGGCTGGTCTGTTGCCTTACAGCGCCATTGCCCTTGAGTTGCACTATTTATATGCTAGCATGTGGGCCCATAAAATATTAACTCTCCCCGGAGTTTTATTCGTGATGTTCATAATCCTCGTCTTTCTCACTGCTGTCTTAAGTGTTGGTTTGACATGTTTTCAGCTCACTGCTGAAGACCATGAGTGGTGGTGGCTGTATGTTCTCTTTCTCTTTCAGATAGATGCCCTTGCTTATAGTCTGTATATACTTGGGGTCCGTTTGGAACTCGGAAAATGCCAGGCAATAAAAAAGAAAGAAAACTAGATGGGAAACTAGTTGTACTCATTTTCACTTATTATCTCAAATCCTTATTGCTGAACAACCCCTTATATCATTGATATATATGTATGTATTGCATTTATACATGTCTTCAAGAAAACTCAGCAACTGATGAATCTCCCAAAACTAATTCAAATTCAGGTCTATTTTCCAAACATTTTTATTGGAAAATATTTTCCTATTACCAAAATGGAATAAAAAATTTCAGGGAAAATATTTCCCACTCAAACCAAATAGACCAACTAATTCCCCCTATTTTCACTTATTATTACAAATCCTTGTTACTGATTAATCTCCTTATATTATTGATTTTTCTTCATTTTCACATCATTATTCAGGTCTATTTTCCGTGGAGGCTCGACTGCTGCATTTATGTTTGCCCATAGCATCTATTTCTATTACAAATCAAGCATGAGTGGCTTCTTGCAGGCGAGTTTCTTCTTCGGCTACACAGCTTGCTTATGTTATGGATTTTTCCTTGCTCTTGCAACAGTTGGCTTTCTTGCTTCCTTTGTGTTTGTTTGCCACATGTACCGTGCAGTCAAGAGCGAATGACCTTCTCATATTCTCCTCTGTCTTAGAGTACATGCAGAGAATTAATTTATAAGAATGGGGAAATATTTTTGCTTCCATTGTTAATGTGAAGCTAAGCATATTGTTTGGTGTGTGTATTTTTCACAAATGGAAAAGATAAGACAAGGGGCTCCCAATTTGTTGGACAATATATATATTGCATAATGTATTTGAGTCTTAGGACCCTTGCGTTAGTCTTAATTTCATTACTCTTGTTTTGTTTTTTGTTCAGGACTTTGTTCAAAATTACATTTTGAAGCAACCTGGTCAACATATGCTATAATTTTAGTGAACACATTTTGTTCAATAGTAAATACGAAGTAATACGTATATAATATGTTGGTTAATAAAATATGAATTATTAGAGTGCTCATAATAATTTTCCCTTTTAGTTGTGGCTTAGCAAAAAGGGACAGTGTGTGTGTGTTCAAAACCACCTCCTTGTCCAAGATAGGGTCTCATTGCCGCATTCACCCCTTTTTTTGAAATACGTCCGATATTCTATTCGCAAAATTGATTGTTTTTATCCTCCTAAATACCCCATCCCAGCTCCACCCCTACCCCTACCTTTGCTCCCTCCAAATGAGTGACTATTAATTTTGCGATTGGAGGTGCTCTAAAAAGGCCCCGCACTGAGTATAAGTTTTTGGAAAAAAAAGAAATGAGAAATTAGTTTTGAGACATTTCAAAAAAAATTAAAAATATAATTCAAGAAGAGAGAGGAGCATTTGATTTGACCAGTTGTATGTACATGAATACTCCGTAATACTCCCTCCGTCCTAGAGTATTTGTCCACTTTCATTTTTACACACCATCCAATGCACTTCTTTAAACCATTTTATCTTGTAATTTGTATATTAAAAAATTATAGAAATTATATATTAATAATTTATATGTTAAGACAAATCAAACACGATCACACATGACTATATTTAGGCTTACACATTGAGAGAATTTGATTAGTCAAAGTGCTTAGATGAACAGTTCCAAAAGTAAAAATTGGACGAATATAGCGGGACGGAGGTAGTATACATTTATTACAAATTAGTAATGAACAGTTGATTTTTTTATTAATGAATATTTAGATTTTATTTAGTGTAACATACTGAACATTCATTTGTGTTTAGCATAACACTTGATCTGACCTTTTATTCATTTTTTCTTGCATTATTAAATTCCAAACCTATTTCATCTATGTTGATTGCAATCTTCACTGATTGATTTCCCTTTGGTACCCAAGGATTCCAAAATGGACGACCAATATACCATGTATCAAATGTAAGTGAATTACCGAGTACGGAGTATTTTATTATTCCGCAAATTATATGGTACGTACATATCTCTAGGTACAACCAGCTGTGATTCGAAGGAGAAGCAGAAATCCCAAGAAGCAGCGAACACCAAATCAACGAAGGTGATTTCAACGTTTCAAGGAGGAAGAGGGAAAAGAGTTATAGGTTTCAGACTCTTCAACAAAGGAGGAATGAATAGTAAGTCAATTGAGAATAAACACTATATTTGAGAAAGAATACAATTTTGTTTCAAAATAAACACTACGCTATTCGTAAATGAATATTATATTAGAATAATTGTATCGAACAAATGTGTGAAAATGAGTACTACATTATTTCAGAATAAATATTACGTTGTTTCAAAATAAATATATATGTTTTGTACAAGAATGAATATAACTTTACTTAAAAATGAATACTACCTGACTATACCTTATTTCTCATACAGTCAGCCGTACCATGAATGGACTCTAATAATTCAGTTACAAATATAATAACAAAAGAAACTAGGGACCTGAGTAAATTGGTGCAAAGCCTAATTTGAACGGCACCAATATATTTATAGCTCAAGAACATAATTGGTTTATAGCAATATCCAGGCAGAGCATAGCTCGTTGATCCAGATCACATGCAGTGCTGCTAACTTCGGGCATGGATTTTTTTAAAAAGAAAAAGACAGAAACGGGAATATATTCCAATTGTAATTTCAGAGCAATACTTCAAAGAGTAATTATGAATACAAAATATTTCACGAGAAGAAAAAAAAGTAGTCTCATGGCTTTTGCATGGCGCACACTAATAAGATATTTATTAATAAACTAGCCATTTGAAATGTGCACTCCGGCGCAGTTCATTCCGTTGGCCTCTGTCCCAAAACTGGAATATCTTCGTAACGTTTCTGCATTTGTGGTTGAGATGAATGTAAGTTAGACACCAAACATTTGATTAAAACTTTGGGAAAGTATAGTATGATAATAAGACTAACTAAAAGCCCAAGATGCACCGAAACAAAAAGATATGTTGAGAACTTTCAATGGCATCCCTAGAAAAAAGGGCAATCATGACTGATCACAATGCACAAGTTTAACACCTAAGGATGAATGCAAAAAACTTCACTCAGATAGTGTCTTGAATTGGGGCAAAGCGACTGGCAAAAGAGTTTCAAGAAACCAAATAAAAGTAAAGGCAAATAATCAGAAAGGTCAAAACTTGGTGAATTTTCCACCAATGAGGCCTCTTCTCATACAGAGTATGTCCAAAGAAGATGAGAACATGACTGTCTGGCCCCTCCATAAGCCATTACCAAACAAACCATAATAAAGATGAAAGCAATCACTTCTTTTAAGACTCCAGCTCCAATACACAAGAAGCTGGGAATATGGAAGCTATGAGTTGTGTTATTGCATGACTTTGCAAAGTAGGATAGGAACCAAACATCTAGGGACTCCAAAGATAGTTTTTGAAGAGAAAAAAATAAAGGTTTCTGCTACTTCCCTACTTACTGGCCTGTTGTATAAAAGTGCCCTGCTTAATTTAAAGTCATATCACGCTAAAGTCATAATCTTCCCATTTTGGATTGCAATGTTTGATTGAAGTTATTTTTAATTCAATTTATTTAATATTAGCATTAAATTTTAAAATAATTATATATTTAAAAACAACATCAAACGTTCTACAAAACAAGAGGTAATTTGACTCTTAACCAAATGATCAATGAAAACATGTAAAGAAAGAAGATATAGTTTGACCCTGTGAGTAGTAAAGGGAAGATTTAAAAGGGACAGGGGGTAACAGATTGGGGAAATGAATACGGAGTAATAAACCTACCAGCCTGTTATGAAGAAATATAAGAAATATGACACAGTGGGAAGGATAAACACTGTAAGAAGAAAACTGGTACAGATAGCTACTACCCCTGAACCCGAATGACCAAAGGCAGAAAAGAAGAACATAGAGTGCGAACAAATATCTCCGAGAGAATGAGATTCATATAAACCTAGATTTCCTACTTTCATAGCAAATACTACGTATGTATAACAAAGCAATATCAAATAGTGCCATGAAATCTTTTAGATGACAGATAAAACACATTAAATATCAGACATGGCAAAGAAAAATTCCCAAACTTTCTATCAGTAGCAATGTAGCATACCGATACAAACATAGCAGCCGAAAGCCCCATTTTATCCAGAAAAAAATAATGAAAAAGCTTCAATTGTTTAAAAAATCGACAATTGATTGAGCAAAAATCAAATCAGGAGCTAATGAAACAAAAATCAGGACGAAATTGATTAGAATAAATACCCCAACATTGTTTTTCTCCCAGAGCTTCTTAATCCCATAGTCCACCGCCTGCAACATCGATAACAAAACGATAAGAAAAATCAGCACTACAAATTAGAACCAAATTACATCGGAATATGATGAATCTGTTCAGATCCCCAACGCCATAAAAGCTTAAAGTGCAGGAACGGACCCGTTCGCCAAAGAAAGCACCGGCGATGACGAAGGTGACATAGACAGAGGTGCGGCGCATGACGACTCTATAGAGGCCTTCGAAAAGGCCGCCGCCGCTTCTCCTAACCGCCGTGGGGTGTTCCATCGGAATCTCTGTTTCCCGTTAACGATTTCTTACGGTTTCAGCTCCGCAGAAAAATCTCAAGAAGAAAATGTGACTGGCTAGCCTCGGCGTTCCAGTTCTAGATGCGGACTTTGATACAAATAAAAAGACGGATGCTTTTGGGATCTCCTCCTAAACGGATCGGACCATGCTACACTTACACCAAAAAAAAATATACCCCATACACCACACAGATTTACACAAACATTTTGATGGTTTACACCGACACAAGTGTTGGTGCATTAATAAAAATTCACACGGACACAAATGTTGGTGCATTTAACAGGTGCAAAACTGCGGGGTACAAATTGAGGTACAACCCTTGGGGTACACATAGCATAATCCAAACGGATCTAACAGACCGGATCGGATAGGCCTAGAGGCCAGAGGGTGATAAATAATCCCTATATTAAAAAAAAAATTCCCATACACTACTCACATAGTTACATAGTTAAACCTCATATACTTCTTTTTTTTTTCTTTATTTGTTTGATAAAATAATAAAATCTTTTTATCTCTAATATTATAAATCTTAAAATGTACTCCGATTAGTTTTTAAATTTACAAGTTCTATAGTATTCTAATATTTTTTTAATTTTATACCTACAATAAAATCAAATAAATTGAATAAAAAAATAAAATCGGTTAAGTCTCGTAACACATAAGGAAAAAAGCTATATGGACTAAGGTAGTAATTTGTTTGAAAAATAGTTTCACTAAGCCACACGGTCCAACAGAGAATAAAATTATGAAAAACAGTGTTTTTAAACTGTGTACATGGAGTACCATTTTTAAAAATTAACATATTCAATGATACTATTTCGCGTCAACAAATATCTATAAAAGAATGATGTCAAATATGATATACCCCAAATATGATTCCAAATTCATACGGGGCACTTTTTATTAAAGCAATTCTACCATTGATTTAAAATCCACATGACATTATCAATTGTTGTTGTCGCAATGCTGTCGTAATGAATTGTCGAAGCAACACCATCGTACGCCCGCATTGACCACCGTTGACCGATGATTCACAACCGCTTTGCAACTACACTTCACCACCACATGCACAGTCACATTACCACCACATTATCATCATTTTTTTAAATTAGAGATTCAAAAATCATATACTCCGTATGACATTAGGATATTTTCATGTAATTTTACTTACTCTTATTTAGTAGGTGACAATTTCAATTTGATCCGCTATAACGGATAAAATCAAAATAAACACGGATAATATATGGATGATGGATGAATTGAATAATCGATCGAACACATGCATGTTGGTGAAGATTTTTCTTACCCATCACCCGATTCGTCAACCCAGTCATTAGTATATGAAAAAGAAAAAACACAAAGTATTACGAGGTATCATGTTTAAAAACCTTATGCACGTGTCATTTCAAATAAAACATCTAATTTAATGATTCATCATTTTACTTGAACTTCAATACTTTTTATACATAGAATTATAGAAATAGATACTATTACTATTATTTGAAACATTTGTTTAATCTTTATGAAATCTTTCTTTGAAAATGCACATGAATGTGGTACCATCTTTGACTATGTAAATATGAAAATAGAAGAAAAAAACACTAGAAAAACCAATGATATAGACATAGTGCGTCAATCAACTAATATTTCATTATTATTTTTATTCACAAAATAATTAAGTTTAGAGTGAAGTCCCAAAATAGTCCTTAATAATAATGGTTTTTCCCAAGTTCATTCATGCTAGAAAATATGTTTCAATTTAGTCCCCTATATATTAGTTATATTCCCAAGTTAATCCTTCCGTTAAAGAGCATGTTAACACCGTTAATTGAGGAATAAAATCATCATTTTTTGTTTCTCCTTGTGCATAATCCTTTTATTAGTCTAGGTACTGCCCTCCCTCCTCTTCAGCCCCTCTAAAAATAAGCCTTTCCATGCAACTGTACCTCTTCCGTCCCTAACACAAATTATTCTAATCGGAATCCAAATCTTGCATTAGTTACATGTATGAAAACAAGAAGAAAAAAGAGCGGCACATTAACAGCATAAACTTAGATAGGCAAAAAAAAATCATTAATCTAAAAATTAGTTTTAGCACCTTGTTTAGGAAACTGATTTCACCAACTTCCAGAACTAATTAAGAATTTCAACACACTTGAATATTGATTTTGTTTTAGAACATGGAAAAAATCAAATACAGTAAACGCAAAAAAAATCAAACGCAGTTAAAAAAATCAAATGCAAAAAAGGAAACCTAGCATAAATCTTGAATCGAACATTCAAAGGATTTATTGGAGGAAACACTTCAATCTACAAGAATGAGGGCCGAGAAGGATTTTTTGGGACTTTACTCAACAATTAATAAGGCAAAAGCCTAAAATGAACCATTAATCGAAAAGTGGTATCTATTTTTTGAACTTTTATTATTCAAAAAAATAATTTCTCAAAGGGTCTTTCTTTCAGAATCGCAAGACACTCTTCTTCTGTTCTACTTTCCCCAATTTTTTTTATTTGCTCGCTCCAAGAATCGCAAGAGAAAATAGAGTGATTAAGTGAGACAGGAAATGGAAACCCACCTAATTACCCCCACCCTTAACTGCAAAGTGACGACTGTTTGGAGCAGGGACTTCCTTGAGGATTAATCCCAATTTTAGAGGACCATATTGTGAATTTTTATTTAAAGAGGACTAAATTGAGAAAATTTCTTATTATGAAGGACTTATTTGGGAATTTACTCTTAAGTTTATATATTTTCATTACATGTAAAATGATAAAGAGTAAAGAAATACATGTGTGAGATCAAGAATTGCTGATCGTGTAGAAAATGTTTTTACATTGAAAAATGTCCCTAAATACTATGGATGTCAATGGATCAGATGTTGATATGGCAAGACTTCACCCTCATTCATGCATTTACTCTCTATCTATCACGTGATATATCCATTGGCTATTACATACAACATTCATTTTGGTCCATCCATCATTCACGAGTAAAACGGATTCAAAAGAGTTGAAATTTATAATATTTTTTATTATTGCCCCAAAGGCATTTGGTGTTCCCACTTGATTGAATGATACAACGTAAACATATTGTGTCCCTTCCTAATTCATACTCTTAAAAATTAGGGCACCTTGGAGAGTGGTCCTTCAATCCTTCATAGTATGACACAAGAAAAGGGATGACCATAGACAGAAACTCATCATAACTCAGCTTTGCAGAGCCTGCATACTGTGTATCCTTCTCTTTGAACTTCTCTGTCAGACCCTGAAAAACAAAACCCATATAGAAGGTGCATATGATCCACGATTATGTACCTCCACCAACAAAACGAAAGGAAAGAAAAACAAAGAGTTCAGAAACCATGTTATGGATATTAGAGTAGGATATTTAATAGTATTATTATTATTATTATTATTATTATTATTATTATTATTATTATTATTATTATTATTATTATTATAATGTAGATTTTATTAGGTGAGCGAAATTATAAGCTCCTTCGAGGTTTCTTTACGGTTCTTTCCCTCGTTGCTTTTATTGAACCGTCAGGTTAGCGTTAGGGTTTCCTTCTTCCCTATATAAAGAGATGTAACCCCTTTAGAGTAAATCAATCAATAAACAAATTAAACCCTAATTCCCTTCCTCCCTCGGTTCGCCGATTCCCTCCTTCGCCTCAATTCTTCTTCTTCTTCCTCATCCCATATTCTCAAGAGCTCGAAGACGCTCTGAGTCTTCCCTATCCCGATACGAGTTCGTATCATTGGTGCTCTCTTTGAGTTGAACATCAAAACAAAAAAAACAAAAAAAAAATCCGCCGTTGCCTAGGCGAAGGATAGCAGGATTCAAGAGTGAAATCTGCACCAATTCATCACCAGCATCAACTTCCGCCTTCAACCTTTAGAACCGCCACCGCTCGTTTTGCCGTTTGATCAATTTTATTTGCCACATCACTTTCGTTGTGTAAGCCACTGGATTTAGTTGCTGGGTTACCAATTTACTCTGTCGGTGCCTAGCTCTGCAATCACTGCTGTCTACGCAAGATTGTTGACGGAATCTGCTTCCAATTGCCTCCGCCGACGACAAATTTGAATCCCAAAACACCAAAAAAAATCAACACTGAAGCATCACCAATTTTTTTTGCCGCCGCTGCTGCTCAATTTCATTGGAGTGTTTGGATCCAGATCAAAAGAATTGGTGCCGAACCTTGTAGACACGAGATTTGTGGTCGCCGAATTTTTATTGCCGGAGGGATTGCTCAAGGCAGCCGCACCAGGTTCACTCTGACCTTTTTATTTTTTGTGCTTTAATTTGCACAACCAGTGGGTCACTAAAAAAAGGAAGTTTATTTTGCTCCAACTTTGTCCGCCTTCTTTGTTCCTGATCGAAAAAAAAAGGAGCACATAGGGAATATTCAATTGGCTACCAAACTTTTTGTGGCAATTAATCCTTGTGGCAGTAAAAGAGTTTCGGAGCCACCACTTGGTTCTCAACACCCGGAAGTCTCATAATCTGCGAGGGTGGATTAAATTATCAAAGATTTCTTTTGGAATTGGGGTTGGTATCCATCTTGCCACAACTATGGTCTCGATTTTGGATAAAATTATTCTGACCATGGACGATGTTTTGAACAAACTTCTTGGTGTGTTGAAAAATATTTTTTATGGAAGAGTTGAGTTTCATGACGGAGTATGTATAACTTATGATCATGTGGATGAAATTTTGAAGACGTTCCACTTATTTCGTTATCTTTTAGATCTACCGTATTCTGATTCTGAGTTATATGCGTTCAATGTGGAAATCTCTTGCTCGATACAAGATTTGGTGTGTGGTACTCCATTGGCATTGAGTGATATTCCCTTGGAGTTAAAAAGTTTCAAAATAAGGATGATGAACGCTATAAGGAATATTCTCGGCATTCCCATTGCTTCACCTGATCTGGTCCCCACAACCGCTCTACACAATCCTACATCTACTGATGTGGAGCGTACGATTGGGGATTCAGTGAGAGTTCATACAGTTGATGCTGATGGTGTTTCTGTTGATGGTATTGTTAATGCCTTTCCATCAGATCTTGTCGTTGTTGATACGCACGTAGATGCACCGGGTAAAGGAGAAGTTGCAAAGGATCCAACATTGAGCAATGTCATCATCGCATGTAGCCTTGTGCCTTCATCCAAAACAGCCCAAGTAGCAGATGTGAATTATAGGCAAGCGGACATCTCATTGTCCTTTGATATCATCCAATCCTCTGCCCATGCGAATATAGTGGAATCCGAGTATTGGGTTTCACCGTCGGTAGCTAAGTTTGCATTTGCTCTTCTCTCTTATGTCCATCGCTATACTCCAATTTGCAGGCTTAATGAAGATCTATCATCAAGTGGGCATAATCTTTGGGTCAACTTTTTCTCTCCAGTCTTGAAGCATGAGTGGGAGCCTCCACCTTGAGGACAAGGTGGTTTTCTAAGGGGGTGAGAGTGTTATGGATATTAGAGTAGGATATTTAATAGTATTATTATTATTATTATTATTATTATTATTATTATTATTATTATTATTATTATTATTATTATTATTATTATTGTAATGTAGATTTTATTAGGTGAACGAAATTATAAGCTCCTTCGAGGTTTCTTTACGGTTCTTTCCCTCGTCGCTTTTATTGAACCATCAGGTTAGCGTTAGGGTTTCCTTCTTCCCTATATAAAGAAATGTAACCCCTTTAGAGTAAATCAATCAATAAACAAATTAAACCCTAATTCCCTTCCTCCCTCGGTTCGCCGATTCCCTCCTTCGCCTCAATTCTTCTTCTTCTTCCTCATCCCATATTCTCAAGAGCTCGAAGACGCTCTGAGTCTTCCCTATCCCGATACGAGTTCGTATCAAACCATAACCATGAGACTTGCGTCTTTTGGAAAGGGAGGATCTGTCAAGAGCTCTGTAAGCAAAATATGAGATTTTGACTTGCTTATTTGGCGTTAAAGGTCAATGGATGTGACCGAACAGGCCCAAATACTTGGAAATATTCTATGCCACATAATAACTAATAGTTCTAAAGTGCATTTCAATACACCACTTTCAACATAGCCGCAGAGGATAACCTCGCGTAAAGCTCTTTTTGGGGCTCTCTTATCTATTCGGGGTTCCCCTCGATGGCATATATCCTGGACTAAGAAGCCCCATTTTGGAGTTCCCACTATCGAACCTTAAGTGGGCCTACAAAACTACATATTAAAAAGTTCCCACTTACATATTAAAAAAACTACATCAAAAGCTCTACAAAACAAGAGGAGACAAGTATAATATATTTTATCAAATAATCAATGAAAACACACAAATAAACATATGTTATTGAGATGTGAGAGAAAAAATGTAATGATTTTCGGGACAGAGGGAGTATTTAAGTGGGATCCAATTGTTTTTTATATACTCCCTCTCCCTAAGAAAAAGATTTCACATTATTATTAACACAGTCAAACCATATCTTCTCTGCTTACATATTTTCATTAATCATTTGACAAAATAAAAATAGACATGTCACATATATTTTGTGAAATTATTGATACAGTTCTTAAATACATAAGATTTATTTTTAAAATGTATACTAATTTTTAAATAAATTGAATTGAATAATAGCTTTCGTCAAATATCGTAAACCAAATAAAGAACCTTTTTCCTGAGGGATGGGGGATGCATGTTGGTATCTATACATATATACATACATACACTCCCTGTGTGTGTATATATATTTATATGCACACATATACATATATATAGGGTGTGTGGGTGTATTGAAACTTAAGGACGATGAATAATATGATTGTTGTAAGATTTGTTGTAAAAAATAATTATGGTAACATTAACCATCCTCTATAAGGTGTGTGTGTGTTTGAATGAATGGATATACTTATACTCTCTTCTTCCCAAAATGTTGAGCCTCTACGAAAAGTTGTACCAAACATTGACCGTTACTTTCTCTTAAAATACATTTTAAAAAATTGAAAAATTTACAAATTATGAAACTACTTTCATCACAAATATCACAATATACAAATTACTCCCTCCATCCCGAATTAAACATAGTCATGCCAACTTTTCCCTCATAGGATATAAATTAAGGACTGAGGAAGTATATTTTTTAATTTATACTTGGTGAGAAATTAATGGATAAAGTTTAGCACAAACTCCCAAAATCACCTTCATCTTGGGTCTCAGGTAGCATATATATGCATGTCAGTATTAGTTTACCAAAATTGACCGGACACGGCTATGAACAAAGTTGAAACCAGGTAGTTGAGCTTTTGAGCAGAAGAGAGAAAATGTGAGGAACCTTTTTTCAGGACCAACAACAAAGGAAATATGGAACCCTTAAATGAGACGGCAGGAGTAAATTTATCCAAAAACATTTGGGTCGATTGAGATACTAATTCTCAAAGTTAATGGTGGAGAATGGAAGGTGAGGGTTGAGTTAAGACTCATCTAGCTTTTGAATGATTCAAGACAACACGTACATATTAATGCATAGTTTGAAATGGGTTTGAGTCCCAAGGGTCACCCAAATTTAAGAGAGAGGACCTGCATTCATGTAGGTTCAGAGCAAACCCACACAGGCGCCGCTAGGCGGGGTCGAGTTGGGACCCGGGCTGTGTTTGGTTGGTCTTAGTTTTTGGGCCTAAGGCTATGTTTGGATGGAAGGGACCAAATTTAATAAAAGAAGGGAAGGAAGGGCATTATAGAGGAGAGGAAGGAAGAGGATAATGTGGTGTTTGGATTAAAATTTTGAGGAGGGATGAAACATAATGGAGGAGAATATTTTTTGTTTAAATTGAATGGAAAATGAAGGGAGCGAATATAATTTCAAAGTAAAAGTAGTTAATAAAGGGGAGTTAGTATTTTCTCCCTCCATTGTACTCCAATTTGGAGGGAATGCAATATAAGGGGGAGTGAAAGAGAGGGAGTACTCCCAAATCCTCTCCCCTTCAAACACTTCCAATGCAAACAAAGGATGTAATGCCTCTTTCCTTTCATTTACCTCTCCTTCCTCCCATTCCCTTCAATCCAAACACACCCTAAAAGTGTACATGCTTCTGGGCCACAAAATTCTCTTCCACCAGACAATTAAGAGAACCCGTGTGTTTGTTCGAAATACCATGAACGAGTGTGCATATGTTGTTTGAATCGTCCCAGAAACATTGCAAAGTTTTGAAGGCAACATTTCACGCTCTATAAATAAGCCCATTTCATGGACACCCACTTCGACCATAGTTATTCATACCATCTAATTCCATCCTCTCCTTGCACTTTTTTAGCATTTTATGAAGAAAGTTCCATAGCATCCTTTGTTCACCGAGTCTGAGATTTTGTTTTGATGTTATTCAAAGGAAGTAGTGGTTGTACCTTGTGAGATGATTCCTATAACTGATAACCCTTGTACATGAGAAGTTTTTCAAAAACGGAAGGAAAAAGTAAGGATAATGTGGTTAACAATCACAGCGTTCCAACTGATATATCCGAGTTGAACTTAATGGTATGGTACTTGAAGCCAACATGGTGGAAACCTAAAAGAGTGGTGGAATGACTTTCAAGCAAATCACCATATATGCTCAAAAAAAGGAAATATTTTCCCGTCAAGGAAGTTGTAAACAGAAATTTCAGCAACGTCTGAAATGGGTGGGAAAGGGAGGATGCCCCTAAAAAAGACATTAGAAAAGGAACTTACTCTCAAGTCTTAATAATGTCTATTCCCAAAAAAAAAAAAGATCTGCTTTCTTGATAGCTATTGCCATTGGTCAAGGCTAGTTTTAAGTTTGTCTTACTTGAGGGATTGTACTGGTGTTGTCTAAGGCTAACAAATTTAAAATGAATAAAAATGGCCAGTTCATTTACATAGAAAAGTTAATCTAGAAAAGGAACAGTTCAAGCAAATAAATAAATAATTTCAATGAGTTGATTGAGTGTTCTAATTTATGGCATTGCAGATTAGGACACGTTACCTTTAACTGATTACCAAAAATGGTGATTTTAAATATGCTCCTATGGCTTAAATTTGACAATTGACGCAAGATAAATTTGAAGTACTAGGGCAAAGTTCTAATGAAATCATATTTGCATTATATGCAATGCAATAGTTGCTTAAGTGATGATCAATATGTTCCATTTGGATTGAAAAAGCCAAAGCGGACGGATACTCCTGGGCGGAGGTTAATATGTCTTAAGGAAGAAACGGCCAAATTTCCTTTCCATTTGATTGAAAGCAATACAGTCCTCTAGAGATAATAACATAGAGTCATATTATACAAATATACACTACTTGATTTGGTGATAGTGCAAACTAGAGGGAAAACTTGTTCCCTTTGTCGCATAAAAAGCCTGGTTTGAAGCAACATTGAATTTATGTATTTACTTCCCAAAACTTCATAGAAAATAAGAAGCAAACGAAGTTTACAATTCTATTTTGATCTAGTCTATTATTTACTTGAAGCTAAAACACTGCAAAAATGACTACTTCAGCTCCATTGGCAATGGAAGACAACTCTTTTGTTTAGTAATGTACAACTATTACAAATAATATATTGTAGATAAATTTTTACACTTAATGGTTTAACTATGTGGACTAGATTTACTTTGTTTGGGATGCTTTTCTCATCAGGAAACATCAAAGAAATGGAGTTTAGTTTTATTTTGTTCAAATAGGACTTTTTTTGGGACACATTTAAGTTTTCAAGTAGGACTCGTTTTAGATGGAAGGAGTATTTCATAGCCTTTATTGATGATGGAGCCGGTTGAGCAATGACATAGGATGACCCGGGTCTCCTATGGTGCTCCGTTAGAAAAATTGATGGTTCGAACGGAGCACCGTAGAAGGCCCGGGTCATCCTATGGCATTCAAAGTGAATGTCACTTGAACCGGGGTGATTGATGATTGCACTAGATATAGTTATATGTATCTTTTGAGAACAAAAAAAGAAGCCATAGAAGCCTATTAGAATTATGAGAATGGGGTTGAAAATCAATTTGGTTAGAAGTGATAGAAAAGGAGAATATGTTGCTTCTTTTTGGAAGATTATGTTCCGAAAATGGAATAATTCATCAAGATAATGACATAGCCTAGCACACACAAAAAATCTTAAAGAATGATGATTTCCATGTTGATTTGTTCAGGTCTAACCCTGAACTTTGGGGTGTGGGTAGTGTGGGGGTGGTGGAGGATAAGATACCCTGGGTTCAGGTATGGCCTCATAACCACAAGATATCTCTCCTCAAACAATGGTTAGCCATCCAAATGTTATTCTTATTAGCATGTGCATGTGAATCCAAATTAGTCTCATTCGTTGAGGATGGTTAAAAACTGGTGCTGAAACACCAAGTTTAATAGCACATTTGAGTATCCTCCATTTGTGAATACATTAATCAAAAGGTATATTTTGAATGTATGTTAGAACTATATGGGTTTAGCATTATAAACCTCTCAAATCCAATTGTGGGAAACTGAGATATTAATGCTCAAATTTAGCCGCTTGAATGTATCAAATGTTCGAAGATGAAATATGGGGTTGATTATAAGGGCATTAAATGTTGAATTTGTCTTAAAGTATAAGGGCTATTCCTTGTTTCCACTAAACATATCTACAAATTCAGGTTTTAAATTCCAGTTAACTGTTTTGGGTTATTTTCCCTTTTCTGCCATTATCTTATCAAGTTACCATAATACTATATACATCATAGCCAACGACAAGTAATTCATTAATGCACATAATACTTGTATAAAACGGTAGCCTAATGTCTGGAACCTTTTTTAATGGCATATTGTATTTGAGAAAAAAAGTCATTTTCTTTTGCTCCTAAGAATTATACTACTTCGTTCTGCGGACTAAATTTTATTCTAACATAATGGATTTCAAACCAACCGTAGCTCAAATATAACTTCTCTAAATGACATAATCTAAAGGAATTTCAATATAAACCAAAGGATGAACAACTTCTTACCCTCCATTGCCCAAGACAACTCCACAAACCAGCAAATTCCCTAGGCCCTGTTCACCAAAACCAAAAGAAAATAGCAGTAATAACATGAAAATGTGATTTATTCAATAAAAAAAGAAGTAATTGAAGTATGAACTAAATAAATTCAGACTCCAGATAAGGCACCGATCCTGAGAGAAGATTCACTAGGGTTCTTAAGGAGAGAGATGAGCAATCGAATTGTCCTGAGACTGAATTTCTGGTAACCGGTAGAGATGGCCTGTAGAAGCTCCTTGTCTTCAATTAACCCGCTATGATCCAAATCCACCATTTGAAAGCTCCGAATGACATCCGGGTGAGTGCCAGGAGGAAAATGGAACAGAAATAATCAGATCTGAATGTCACAATCTGTTTTCAAAACTTGGGATCATACATCAGAAAACCATGACTTACACTCCACAACAGAATGGGGTTGTGGAAAGAAAACATAGACATTTGTTGGAGACAGCTGGAGCCTTAAAAATTCATGCCAATCTTCCAGTTTCTTTTTGGGGAGATTGTATCCTTGCAGCCACATATCTCATAAACAAAATGCCTATGGCCAAGTTACTTTGGAAAACCCCTTATGAAAGTCTCTTTGAAACCCCACCTCGTTATGACCATCTTAGGACCATTGGTTGCTTGTGTTATGCCAAAGTGGCTGGGAAAACACATGACAAATTTGCACCAAAAGGTAGAAGATGTGTTCTTATTGGTTATCCTTCTGCTCAAAAAGGATACAAGCTTTTTGATCTTGATACCAAAAGTAACTTCCTGAGTAGAGATGTTCTTTTTCATGAGGATATTTTTCCTTACAGGACCTTATCTCCTTCATCCCAACAAACACCTGACTTCTTTTATCCCACTCCCATTTCAGTCATAGATGATCCCATTTCTTCCATTCCTTCCCATGATCCCTCTTCCAATCATCCATCATCAGAATCCCTCATTACTGATCAAGTTCATACTACTGATTCTTCCTCTTCTGAACCAGTTACCTCAGATACAATACCTACAGATCCTGTCTCTTCCTTACCAACTCAAACCAATTCTTCTAGACCACAAAGGACTGTGCATATTCCAGCTAAATTTTCAGACTTTATATGCCCCACTCTCAAGTCCAGAACACAAACTCATTGTTCCACAGCCCATCCTTTGTTTTCTGTTCATACTTCTCATTCTCTGCCACTTGGCTTTACCAGTTTCATCGCAAATGTGTTAACTATCCAAACACCCACCACTTATGCTCAGGCTAGCAAGGATCCAGGATGGGTCAAAGCTATGTCTCAAGAGCTGGCTGCCTTAGAAACTAATTGTACTTGGACTTTGTGCTCACTCCCTAAGGGTCACAAGGCAATTGGCTCAAAATGGGTTTACAAAGTCAAATATAATCCTGATGGTTCCACTGAAAGATTAAAAGCGAGGCTTGTTATAAAAGGATATAACCAAAAACTTGGGAAAGATTATAAACACACTTTCTATAAGCTTTAGCAGCTGCTTTTGGTTGGTCTTTACATCAATTAGATGTTAACAATGATTTTTTGCATGGTCATATCGATGAGGACATATACATGTTGCCTCCAGAAGGATATTTCAAATCTTTGCCTGGTCAGGTTTGCAAATTACAGCGCTCTTTGTATGGCCTCAAACAAGCTTCTAGACAATGGAATATGGAAGTCAGCAATTTCCTTGTCCAGCTTGGTTATACTCAATCTAAACAGGATTATTCCCTATTTGTTGTAACACCCCAGCCCGCGTGACCCGAATACAAGGATCAGCGGATCGGGTTGCTACTAAATTGGCATTCATACACAATAATTTTCAAAACAATTTAAAACATTTAATTCAAAACAATATTTAAATATCCATCAGAGTAAATCAAAACGGTGCGGAAGCCTTTAAGTACTTAATCAAAATACAACTTTGGGTTCTTGCCCTTAAGAATATAATAATTCAAACTTAAATATTAAATTAGATAATTCCTCCAGCTAGCATCCATCCATCTCTTCGCCCTCGCTGCCTCCAAGACCCTCTCATTATTCATCGTTCCTGTTACCTACGTGTAGCGAATAGGAAAAAGGGCTACACGCTCAGCATTGAAGCTGAGTGGAACTATCTAACGTTCGGCTACGCACAATGACGAACCCACTAGCTCATAATTCCATACAATATCATGCACACAAGTACAACATCAATAACATTATTAATATCATTTAATTCATCAATTAAGCATAATTATCATAATTACCAAACTAATCTCATAATCCACTTCTTTATCTCTAGGCTCATAACCTATCCTAGGCTAAGGCCAACTACTTTATTCTAGAGTCCTGATCCAACCACATCCATGGAAGAACCCGCTCGATACGACGTCATCCAACGTCGGCTGGGTGGGACCACCTACTCATATCCATGAGCAGATCTACGACCCCCGTGCGCACGCTCTACCCAACTGATCATGCATGCACGCCGGCTCATCACATGACCAGTTATTCCTAACTGTATTCCTTATTATGTTTCCTCGATCTACCTATAGTTCGGTTAGGTAGCCTATCCGTATTCAAATTCATAATTTCATATTTCTAAATTCATACGAGATTACAAAAAGTTAAATAGGCAATCATATTCATCCACTAGCAGCCTAGTGTCGGGTGTAAACACCTTACATTTACCGTCATGCAACACATAAAGTCTCAGAGTCAATTCGGGTTCCAAATCGGGTCAAACAGCCAAACAACGAAGATTTGCAGCTGTCGGTACGGTACCCGTCACGGTACCTCAGTACCGCTAGGCGGTACCTGGGTACCGTCAGTACGGTACCGTCCGACCGTCTCACATATATACCGGCAACAGCAACGAGCCTGAGGCGGTAGCTGGGTACCGTTTGAATGGTACCAGGCTACCGTCCGGCATCGGGAGTGTACAGATTCAGCAGATTCCTACCCTATTCCAAATCATTTGATACATATAATGTTTTTAGAGATTATAATCATGCAAATCACACAATTTAGAGTAGAAATACGTACCTCGTCTTTCTCGTTCAATCAATTCCAATATCATCATAAAATATAAATAAATCATAATTCAATTACAAACGAATAAACCACGTAATCAATCATACGAAACTATGAACGTGAATTTCAAATCTATATACATAATCTAGCGTTAGATGTGCAAGTTCTGACCTCAATTATCTGACGAATAAAATAAATCAACAAACGAACAAGGTGGTGGTGACGATTGGCTATTTCTGGCGATCCCAACGGCAGCGGCACAGCAGCGGCGGCACAGCTTCCAAACCTCCGGCGATCTGTCTGGCTCTAGTCGTCTTTAGGCGAAGGAGAGGCAGAACAACGGGTGTACGTACTTCGTATATAAGGACAGGGCTGGAAGGGGTTTCCTTCGCCGACTCGGAATAGGATTTAGGTATTATAATTATTATTTTATTATAAAATTCTTTATATTTATTTATTGAACAGAAATGTCTATTTTACTCACCACGTATGTCCAAATTTAACAAATTATATACCGTTGGTCACCATTTTACGAGATCTACCCGAAAACCCAATTTTCATTTAAAACAGATAACTTTACAAATAATTCATACTTTAGAGTAAACAAATTTTAATATTTATTTTATTAAAATAACGGCTAACTATTAAGCCGGTTTTTGGGTCGTTACATTTGTCAAAAGGACTGACACTACTTTCACTGCTGCTTTACTCTATGTTGATGATATGCTGCTCACAGGCACCTCTTCATTGGAAATTTCCAACACCAAGTCTGCTCTTCACAACAAATTCACCATTAAAGACCTTGGGGAGGCAAAGTATTTTTTGGGGATGGAAATTTGTAGAGACAATCCCTGCTACCATGAGCGCACCAAACACTTTGACATTGACTGCCATTTTACTAGGGACAAAATTCAAGATGGGTTTCTCCAAACTGCCTATGTTCCTTCTCAATATCAACAACTTTCTGACATTATGACCAAGGCACTAGGTGCCTCTCAACATGGTACGCTGTCTTTGCAGTTGGGCCTTCAACCAGCTCCAACTTGAGGGGGGATGTAGAAGATATGAGATAATATGAAGATATTTTCATTTTGTTATTTTAATTAGTTTGACAGCTGGCACTTTCTGTTTCAAGCCAGCTGTATCCGTTATTCTGTTCCTTTTTTTCCTCCTTCTTTTTCGTTATTCTCCCTTGTATATATATGTGGTTACTCTCTATTTTCCTTGTGTAAGATGATTTACGCAATAATACGCAAGCTTTCTTCCTTATCCCACTTGCGTTTCTACATGGGGGAGATGCGGGATGGTATGGGTGGGCCAAGCAGGGCTCATCTGTGGCGGGTAATGGCGGAGCTGAAGGAGAGAAAGATTCTCCACCGCCGAAGCCGTTGGAAGCCATTGTTGACAGCTTGAGATAGAGAGATCGGGTAAGGGAAGAAAATGACTCCACTCCTGAAATTAATCACAATTCCCAACCAACACAATCGATCCGTATACCCGCCAAGTATTTGTTACCTTAACCACCTTTCTTTTCACACCTTTTGGTTTTTGGAAGGGAAAAAAAGAGAAAAAAATCAAACTAGAATTTTTTTACAGCAAATTAAACTAGAACTAAAATAGAAATAATTTACACAAATACCCCAAAAAATCAACAACTATATTTTACTATTCTAGGTTGCCAACTAAGTAAAATATGTATCGTTTTAGATGGAAACTAGCAACTATTGAGTATGAGATGATAACTATAAAAAAAATAAAAAATACTCATACTTGGAATGAATTATAACTAATTGTCCCCATCGTCAAATTAACATAAAAAAGTGTTAAAATAGAAAACTGAAATGTGCTACTCTGTTTAACAAAACATTTCTACCCTAAGTAATTACGCATTCCACAAAATACTTTTATCCTCTCCTAAAATGCTCTTGAATGGATCTTATTTCTCCTTTATATGTTCTGGATATATGTTCTTTTGGAGATATTTTTAGATATTTTATGGGATAGAAGTGTTTTGTAGGAAGAGAAAAAGTTAGTGCGAAACTATTCTCTAAAAAATGAAAATGGAGAAAGTATTTTATTATTAGATAAATTGTGAATAATGTTTCAGATAAGAAAATAGGGAGTTTTTAAATTAATGCTTCGTAAGATATATATGGATTTGTCTCTTAAATACATATTCGAAAACTTTAGATTATAAATTTTTAATTTAAATTTTTTTTATTTATCTTAAACGTTATTCATACTTTATATGATAAAAAATACATATTTCAATTTTTCTATTTTACCACAATTTAGTTTTCTCATTTTAAACCAGCGGTGTAGGGGTTTAGGTATAAAATCTGATTTAGGGTACATTTCATTCAACAATTTTTTTAAGCTCATTACTTATTCTTATTAAAAACCAAATCAGATTTTTTTTGTTTTACTCATGATTTTAAATTAATGTTTCGTAAGATATATATATGGATTTGTCTCTTAAATACATATTCGAAAACTTTAGATTATAAATTTTTAATTTAAAATTTTTATTATTTATCTTAAACGTTATTCATACTTTATATGATAAAAAAATACATATTTCAATTTTTCTATTTTACCACAATTTAGTTTTCTCATTTTAAACCAGCGGTGTAGGGGTTTACGTATACCGCACTCAAGGTATTTTCTTTTCTATTAGTTATAAATGCACACTTAATATTTGTCCAGTCGCCACAAAATGCTAGATATTCAGCTTAGGGTACATTTCATTCAACTATTTTTTGCAGCTCATTACTTATTCTTATTAAAAACCAAATCAGATCAGATTAAATCTAATTAGATCAAATCTAATCCGAAGTATTGGCTTAAAATTCAACAATTTTGGGAGTAATTTTGTTAATTATTCAATTATGGAGTAATCACATAAAATCGTAGACTTTTTAATGTCTTCGTGTGAATTTTTCCAATAAAATAAAGAAAAAGTACCAAAATAATATTTTCAAGTTTTTATCCCAAAACAAAAATCAAAATATCAATAACATTAATACCCGTAGTATATAATACTAAAAACATTATGGAATATCAATATAAAGTGTCAAATTGACACATGACAGTAGTCATATTTTTGAATTAAAAGCATAAAACTTATACAAGATATTTTGATATTTTCTCTATGTCTAACTCATAACAAGGTAAAATTCTTGAAAATAATGCACCAATAAAATCTTATCTGATTTTATTAAAGTCTCCGATATAATTTTATATGATCTAATTTAATTCAAGTTTTATTTAAATTATTTTCTACGTTATCTAATCTTAATAAAAATAAATAATACAGAGTAAATAACAAGAATAAATTGAAAAAACAAGAAGAAATCACTTTAAATAGCAATAAAACATGGAAAAAAATATTTATATAGGAACTTCATATTTTTATCCTAAATAAGAGTTTACACTGTTATAATATAACATTGTATATGGACATTCACAATACTTTTTTATATTATATATTGCGAGATTGACATTATATATGCATTTTAACTCCTGTTTTGGAAATAAAATTATAGAAATCTTATTTTAATATTTTTTTTTGTTTTACTCATGATTTAATCTTTTTTCCAATAACAAGCTCTATATGCTCATATACAAGTGTTTAATAGTAAGATTGTTCAAGAATATCCCATTCAAAAAATACGTCAATGATCCAAACACTCCTACTCCGTAGAAGTAGTATGTGTTAGGCCTTGTTTGAAAAACAGCCTTTAACTATTGGTTGTTAGCTAGTTTGAATGGTTGATTAAATTGACTGTTTTGAATGACGAATTGTATTAGCTATTAGCGAAAAACTGTTTGGCAAACATAGTTGTTCATAAATAGCAGTTTATGATGTAAATTACATTTTTAGACATACCTCCTAATGTGTTAATTATGAAATAATATTTTATACTCTGTAACAATTAGTTAATTTTTTGGATTTTAATAAAAACAAACTCTATTTATGAAAATAAATACTGAGCAAATATATTACGTAACAATATACAAAAAAAATCACCGAGAGCACATAGTTAGAGAAAAGAAAAAACATGCTAGTTTGACCAAGTTTAACAAAATAAATAAAAATAAAAAAACAAAACAAATAAAAAAACAATTGCCTAGAGTACATAATAAGAAAAAAAGGAAAAAAATTTACTAGTTTTACAAAGTTTTTAATATAAAGAAAAATAACATATATAACAAATCATACTCCGCATGTAAACCCTTTCTTAATACTCCATACATAAACTAAATAATAAAAAAATCTACATTAAGGGCATGAAAAAAAAGGAAAAAGTGAACTCCTAAATCAAAATGCTACAAAACAACTATTTGCCAAACAATTAATTAAGGATCTAAATCAGCTGTTCCTGGTCAAACTGCTAAAAGCTAGCCGATCAGCCAATATCCAAACAAGCCCATAGACTAACAGGTTTATAGTACTCCGCAACATTTAATACTCCTAGAAAATAAACCTTCTACTTGACTAAACTTGAACAAGGATCTGAATAGAATCCACCCAATATCAGTGTTTCTGCTTATGCTCATAAACATATACGAAGTACTTTCTAACACCAAAGGGTTTAACCGTAAAGTTCATTTTTTAAGAGGAGGCATATATTTGCCGATAAACAAGTTATAGTAATTACTTAAAAATTAAATGCAGTTTTCAAGTAGAGTGCATATTTAACATGCTTTAGTCACAAAGCAATATAGAGATGACTAGAAACAAGTCCACCGAAGGTTGACTAACACCAACCGTGGGAGGGTGACTAGTGTCGACAATGTTGGTAGCCCGTTGGAGACCGATATATGTCGCTTGACAGAGACCTGTTTATCGATTGTAGTCAGAAGTAATGCTCTCAAAAATACCTAGTACAACGGGTGGGGGAAAACTCCCTTTTTAAAATGTGTTTTCCCTTCAACTCCCAACCAAGAAATGGTTGGTGTAATACCATATATGTCAAATTAAAAGATGGGTATGACAGAAAGTTGAGGCACAAAGTACTACTATCAAGTCTACTACACACACCACTTGGAACAGGAAGAGAAAGAAAATCTCAACACCTAACAAAATAACTTGCACTTGCAGATACTCACCACTCAAAAGCAGAATGTATATCCTTTCTCCGACTTGCATCACTTCATTTCATGTACTCTAACACACCCTGATGGATTTCTTCAAGGAAGGACACAAAGCCCATGATGCTCGTGAACCCATTCCCTTCTACATCTTGTTCCTCTATAAGGAAATTCTCAAATGGCGTTGCATCGTCCTGGCCTGCTCTCATGAATATGAGTTTCGGGGTGATGCATCGCTCCTGCTTCCGCTTGTTTATTATTGTTCTCAGTAAACCTGAGGGGAAGGGCAAATCTGTCAGAATTAAATTAAGAACAAAGATTTCCAATGAAATTAGGACAAAAGACTTTTTAGGATCTTACAGTCCTGAGGTGGAGGAAAAGGGAGTGAAGGGTCAGCTGTAGATGAATAGTAGACGATGAGAACTGTGAAAGCATCGAGGAAAAATATGGGGCTGCCGCTGGTTATCAATGCTGCACGGCTCAGGGAGTGGCGAGGGTAAGCTTGTTTATCCGGCGATGCAAACGAGGACAGCAGTGGATATATAGCCAGGTGAAGAGAAGAAGGTTCTAATGCACTGCATCAGAAGAAGTTAGTTTGCAAACAATTAATACAACTTAATAAATAATATGAGGATTAATAGCACATTTAGTTTTTATCGAGACAGCGTATTAGGGTTGTAGAGTCCTTGTAAGGGTTGTTGTTGATGTTGTGTGTGTGGTGATCAAGAGGATTTTTTTTAGGGATATGCATTCATCAAATGCTACCAATTCCCAGTAACATGGTGGCCAAGTCACTAGTCCACATTATCAATTGCTATTCAATCTTTTAGCTCAAAAGGTTGACCCTGATTGCAAATAAATTAAGAAATTAGGTTGTAATTTGCAAATTTTACAAGGTTTGGCTAAAATGCAAACACAGAATGAGGTTTTTCTCTTAATTACTCCATATTATCAACCTACACATATGCATGATACAGAATTACAGATCAATACTTACATGTTTCTAAATAGATATTGTCTAAATGTTTTAACCAACAAAGTAACAAGATCATTGACCCATGGACTATGTTTTGCATAAAGCTTAACACTACACATACAAGTCTTTTCAAGATACAAGTTGAAGTTGGAATGATTTTTATATATAAAAGGGTACCTGAACAGACACTGGAGGTATATTCTATAGTCTGGATGTACACCTTCTTCGTGTAAGCGGAGAAGAGGGTTTCGTAAGAGAGCAAAAACTAAGCGAGGGAGATGCTGCAACTGTGGGCATTGGGAGAAAGAAACATCGATATGAGCCATGTTTGAAGTCCCACGTCCAGACTCTGAGAGTTTGCAAGCTTCATTGTACTGAGCTGTAAGAATTACTAGCCAGTCATGGAGTAGCATTCTTCCTTCTCGTATACCTTCTTCCAACGAAGATTTAATGACCTGAAAAGATGCAGATTGATGAACATTGCAGTATTGCTCAAAGTTTTGATCTAATAGTTATTTAGGTATTTACGTCGGGGGAAACCTCTTGGTACCATCAAAACGTTAAATGATAGTGCAATTGTTAATTAAAAAAAGGTGAAATTGTGTGCTTGTGACTGGTGCATAGGAGAGAGAAATGATATGGGCCAAAATAAATATTCCATAAATGGAAAGTGGAACTTTTTTTGAGATATATGAATAAGGAATAATCAAAACAATTAATTCAATTTCACTAAATTTTACACATTCAAATTAATTAGGACATTTTTATTTTTTTCATTAAAAACAATTACGAAAGTTATATTTAGTTTCTTTAATTTAAATCAAAACCCTTTTGAGACAAAAAAGTATATGAAACTGACTTTTTTCATAAGATGGACGTATAATTAAATATGATCCAAAATGATCTGATAAATTCTAAATATCCTCCTTAAAAAATTCTGAACACAACTAAATTAACCTGTTAGAATAAGTCAAGACAATATCTTGGAAAGTTGAATTCATAGTTAGGATAGTTTTGAAAATACTGATAGTTGGAATTATTTAGAGCATACTGATGATAGTTGTGATAATTTTTATCAACTCTTGATGAGAACAAGAGGTTACTCAAATCAAGAGTAGCAGCAAGAGTTTGTTCCACACTACAGCAGGCTCTACAGCCTCCACCTCTCAAATTAGGTTGTATATCTCTTCATTATTACTTTTTACTGTTAATAAGTTGCTTTTCAATACACTTTTGTAGTTTTGTTGGTGCCCTGCTTGCTTGTGTCTGTTGTTGAGCTAGTTTTTCCGTTGCGGTCTTTCTCCAATACTTTTGGCTAGTGCTAGGTGGATTTTTCCTGTGCTCTTCCTTTTATGGTGTGTTGTGTGCATGTAGGGTGTGTTGGCCTTGAATGCCAAACCTCGTATATGAATAATGGTGCATGTAGGGTGACTTTTGTTAGGAATAATGGTGTAAGGTTGTATTTTTGGGGGTTGAGAAAGTGCGGAGGGGTAGAGAAGGGTCAACTTTGAGGTTTCGGTAGTGGAACATAAAGACCCTCGTAAATTTATTGGAGTAGATGAAAGTCCTTAAGAAGAGGAGTATTCATGTGACATGCGTGCAAGAGATACGTGATGTGGACAGATTCAAGTTGGCGAATTCTGGCACTTCGAAAACCTAGATTAGGGGCTGGCATTTTGGTCGCCGTCTTGCCAAGGATCTTTAGGAGTTCGTGGACCAAGTGATGAGGGTTAGTGATCACCTATCGGTTGATAGGTTATAGTGTTGGGTGAGTGCATTAGAAACATCGTGAGTGCATATGCACTCTAAGCAGGCTTGAATGATGAAGTTACGAGGGATTTTTGAGAGGCATTGGATGGAGCGGTAGGAGTATCCTGTATCCCGCAATCAAAAAAAATCATCCCAGGTGATTTTAATCAATTTAATGGTCACATCGAGGGTGCTGCTGAAGGTTTTGAAGAGGTGCACAGACCGTTTGGCTTTGGAGGAAAGAACTTGAAGGGGTTTCACTCTTGGAACTTGCAAGACCTGATGATTGCTAACTATTTCACCTTAAGCGGAAAGAACACTTGGTAACTTTCTACAGTCGTGTGGGGAGATCGTAGATCATTGCTTCCTTCTGTGTAGGTGTGACAGGGTGCTCTACAAGGATGCAAAACTAATTCAGAGTAATAATCTTGCAACACATCATAAGTTACTGATGATGGATGTCGCAATTAGGTGGGTAACAAAAAAGACGGACTACATATCTGTTGGGGGAGTTAATGTGGAGAGAAGATCCTGAAGTTGGTTGCTCAAGTCTAAAAGAAAGGCACGTGGGAGACCATTGGAGAAGCTAAGAACATGTGGTCTAAGACCGCAAATTGCATCAGAGAAATTGCTCGGGAGGTGTTATGCATAGTGAAAGGTAATGGAGCCAATATATTAGGCCTGATGGTGGAATAATGTAGTTGCAAGATTATTACTCTGAATTAGTTTTGCATGGAGTGTAGAGGTGAGGAAGTTAAGGAGTCGCTAAGACATGAGTATAACATTGCTCGTAAGGAAGCTATATTGGAACTTGGAAGTTACAATGGCTATGAATGCAACTTTTGAATGTCTGTATACGGACCTGGAAGAAGGAGGAGGCAAGAAAAGATTGTTTCAACTGTCAAAAACACGTTAGGAGAAGGGACGAGATATGGAACATGTGAGATGTGCGAAAGATGAAGGTAGCAAGGTTTTGTAGGATGCAGTGGAGGCGAGGAAGCGATGGCGGGCTTACATTCATCAATTTTTGAATGCAAGAGAGGATAGGAGCAAGGTTCTAAGAGAGTTAAGGCAGTGTGAGAGGCATCAGAATGTTGGATAATATTGACACATTAGTCACGATGAGGTGGTGAGAGTCACTGGATGAGAGGGGGATGAGCAAAGGCAACAAATAAGTTTTCAGTGAAGTTCTGGAAGATTGTGGACATCAACGGGTTGGTGTGAGTTACGAAGCTCTTAATTGCTACGTAGTATTTTTAATACGATTAAGATGTAGTGATCCTGTTGTGCAAGGGCAAAGGTGATATCCAAAGTTTGAAAGTTGCAATGATTACAAAGGCAACAAACTACTTAGTCACATCAGGAAGGTTTAGGAACGTATCATTAAGGCTACATTGAAGAAAGGGATGAGCATCTCCAAGAACTGATTAGTTTCATCATTGGCCAGTCTACTACAAAGGCTATTCACCTCTCGAGGGGAATGATGGAGGAGTATATGGTCAAGAAGAGGGACTTACATACGGTGTTTATTGACTTGGAGAAGGCGCACAACATGGTCGCAAGGGAGATCTAAGGAGGTGCCTAGAGCAGAGAGGGCTGCCAGTTTCTTACATCCACAGGATCAAACAAATGTATGTCGGGATAAGGACCAGGGTGTGAAGGGTGACTCTGACCCCTTCCCAACAGAGATGGGATAACAGGCTCTGCACTCGGTCTTTTCTTGTTTACATTGGCGATGCATATCCAGAGTACCTCTTCTTGGTCCATGCTTTTTGTTGATGATATTGTACTGATTGACGAGACACATAAGGGACTTAATGATATGTTGAAAGTGTGGCTTCAGGCCTTGGAATCCAAAGATTTCAAATTGAACAAGAATAAAATTGAATACATGGAATGTTGCTTTAGTTGGCAGGCAGAAGTAGAAGGATTGATTAAATCTCAGTTACCAAAACAGACAGGTTTTGATGCCTAGGTTTGATCATCATCATCCACGTAGATTGGGGGATAGATGGGGATGATGTGCATCGTATTTGAGACGATAAGATATTGATTAACATGAAATGAAAGTTTTAGCGAAAAGTGGTCAGACCAGCTATGTAATACGAGGTTGAATGCTAGGCGGGAATGGTGGGAATAGCACCCGCGGAGGATAAGTTGCTGAAATCTAGGATGAGATGGTTCGGGCGCGTGAGAAGAAAGAGTGTGGAGGCCCCGGTGAGGAGATGCAAAAAGCTTGCAGGGTGTAAGGATAGAGCTTCACCTGGGAAGAGATGTGCGGAGCTGATTAGACACAACTTACTTTAGGACTTTACCAAGGATATGACCTTACATAAGAGTTCCTGAAGAGCTAAGATTAGAGTAATTTGATAGACTTTTGGGCCTTAATTTTAAGTTGTTGGGATTTTAACCTTTTAATTTGCCTTAATGCGTAAGTTTATAACATGTGCATGTATACTTTTTGTGCTTTGGGTCTAGTCTTGGGTTTACTTTGTTTGTGCTTTAGTGTTGAGCCGGGGTCTCTTGGAAACAACTTCTCTACTTTCATGTAAGGGTAAGGTGAAAAAGGTCTACATACACACACCCTCCCCACAGCCTACTATCTTGTGGGATTGCACTAGTTTGTTTTAGAACCAGTTCTAAACCGGAATTATGTCCACCCCTAGACTCAGTGAGGCCCAATTGTGGGCAGTTTGGACATCCTCAGATAGGGCCTCACATCATTTGCATTATTAAACTGTGTACACAGCTGTTCAACCCCTTGCTCAATTCCAATGACATCACAAACTTTTGCCTAAATTCACCGAGCCATTTCAGGTGTTAGCTCGAGTGGGAGAAACCGTGTATAGACTCCAAGTGTAGATACATAAATGATGTCCTCCACATCTCATTGCGGAAACCCCATCACAGAACGCCAACAACAGAAATTGGGTCTCTTCCAGACCCCTCTAGCTCGCAACAATACTTCGCAATGGCCTTGACCATGGAACCTTGAAAATATTAGTTCAGTGAGAGGGCTAATTAAACGAAGATTGCACTTGGAGGCTTTGGCTTCCTTCTGAGATATATTTCTAGCATTCAAGGTTGAGGAAAAGCTCACTGCCAGCGAAGGGATTGATGTTTTAGATGCATGCCGAACACTACTCAGACATGCCAATGTCAGCGGCAGTCGGAGAGAGAGTAGTGTTTGCAGTGTTGGCTGATGCAGGAAGCCAGCACACTTATTACTACTTTGCTAATAACTGGGAGTATTGTTATGAAATTAATATTTCATAATAGCTTTATTATTTCCTTAGTCAATCAGGATTGTGCTAGCGAGAAAGCACCCTTTCCTTTTGATATTAGGACTCTTGTGATAATCTCTCTAAGAGTCCTAGTTGAAATAAAGAAATCATCTCAAGTAGTCAAGTAGTATTTATTTCAGGTGTCTTGGGCAAAGACAGGCCCTAGTCCTCTCAACCAAAGGCAAAGGACGATCTTGTCTCCATAGCACTCCCAACAACAAGCTCCCACTTTTCCCTTCTGGCGACATTGCCTTGGACGAGAGCTTGTATGGTGCACTCTTTACACTTTTGCACATACTTCAACTAGACCTGGCGATCGGGTCAATCGGTTCAGTTCCGGTTCGGGTCTTTTCGGTTCGGGTCTCTTTCGGATATATGTTATAATCGGGTCGGGTCGTGTCGTGTCGGTTCCGGGTTTATTTCGGTTTAATTGGTTTTCGGTTCGGTTTCGGTTCGGGTTTATATCGGTTCGGGTTTCTATCGGTTTGGGTTTGTATCGATTCGGGTTTATACAGATTCGAGTTTATATCAGTTTAAATTTATATTAGTTCAAGTATAATGTAAACACATACTAATAAATGAATAATATCACATAATAAATTTAGTTAATTTATGACATACTTCGTAGTTATTTTATTATTTAACACGGATGTACATAAAAAATAAACACTTACATAATTGACTAATTGTTTACATTCTAAAGTTTTTCCTCTTAAAGTTTTCGGCGCAACCTTTTTAGTTAACATTCTACTTCGTACTTTCTCAATTTCTATTTAACTATCCATTTCATTTTGTGTTTCAAATATTTGAATAATTATATATAAAAAATATACTCCCTCTGTCGCCGAGTATTTGTCACTATAATTTTTATATACTCTCTATAAAAATACAAAATATTTTCACTTAAGATACAAAATACGGAGTAAAAAATTTGTACATGAAAGTAGTTACACGGTTTGCACCCATAATTTAAATATGTTTTTTAGAAACACATCAACATATGTAAAAATATATAGGTAATTCTTTTTCTCCAAATTCATTTGATAAATGAAATATTCACGAATTTGATCAATTTCGGGTCTAATCGGTTTCGGGTCTAATCGGTTCCGAGTTTAACCGGGTTCGGGTCTAAACGGTTCGGGTTTAATCGGATTCGGGTCTAAATCGGGTGTGAATACATTCGGTTCGGGTTCGATTCGGTTCGGTTTGGATCATTTCGGGTGTTCGGTTCTATTTTGGTTCTTCAGTTTTCGGGTCAATTCGGGTTCGGTTCCGGGTTATTCGGTTCGGGTTATCGGTCCGGGTCAGTTTTGCCAGGTCTAACTTCAACACATCAATGCAATATTCTTTTCTGCAGCTTAGAAGTGGCAGAAGTGCAGAGTAAAAAGCAAAATACCTTGTGAACAAGTAAAGAAAGCACCACTTCAGAATCAACACTATCATAACTTTCATTGATCTCAAAAGCAACTCCAAACTGCATAGTTCTTATCCTTAGCCTCCTCTTCAGGGAATGCTTTTTTCTGGACAAGAATTATAAGGGCCATCAAGTTACATAAGAAAAGAAAAGAAAAGAAATGTCTTTTGTGCTGATAAATTCGAGGACTGTCTACAAATAATGAACAAGAAAGCGAGCCGGAGAAATATATATATACAAATATAAATAAAAAGATATTAACTGACATACCCAATCAGCAAGAAAATATGCATCTCCTATTTATAAAGCAAGTGGTGTATAAAGTTAAAAAACATTGGTTCAAAATTCACTCGGGAAAAACAAGCCATACCTACTTGTAAGACTTGATTCCGAATTTGCAAGTTCACCAGGAGGCACTACAACTGTGTACTGGAATGCAACTTGAAGCATAGGAAGTGCTCTAGTATGCCTGCATAAAGAATAATAAATAATTTATATGTGATTAACTATCATTTAATGATTTAAGAAATAATTTTGTCCAATAAATAGGATAAAGTATGTTTTAGTGTAACGGCAACCTGCACAAAAAAACAATTGAAAGGTTGGAAGAATTAGGACAAATTGGCAAATATTTACCTGGAAAAACCAGAATTATTTGTAAACTCAAAATCATACGCATATGTGGCAAAAGCATCACAGCATATTATATGTTGAACATTTTCATATTGCGGGTCTGGAAAGAAATGCCCATACTGTAACAAAAGGTTTCAGTTATTATGGACAATATAGCGGTTCTATAAACTTTCGAGAGGAATGAAATCAAAACTTACAGAATGATCAGGTTTGTATTCAGAAGATGTCCTTAGACGCAAGACACAATTAAAAGCATATGGTCGACTTAACATGCGGTATCTGCAATAGATCATTTGAAGTCATTACTCATATATAAAAAATTTAGTCATTGAGACTTAAGACTTCTACTTTACGTCACGGCGGATTAGCCTTCGACACGTGCCCCTCAAAACAAAAGCTCCTACTGCTGGTTGGCAAACGAGCGGCGAGTCCAAGCATCGATCTAGCATGGATTCTGACTTAGAGGCGTTCAGTCATAATCCAACGCACGGTAGCTTCGCGCCACTGGCTTTTCAACCAAACGCGATGACCAATTGTGCGAATCAACGGTTCCTCTCGTACTGGGTTGAATTACTATCACAACACAAACATCAGTAGGGTAAAACTAACCTGTCTCACGACGGATACTTGCTATTATTGGAGGAGGATGATAAAAGTGAGGTCAGAATTTGAGGGGATGCTCGATAATGGTGATTATACACCCGATGAAGGGTATCTCTGGCTGGGCCAAACCCCTAAAATAGAATGGGCTAACTTGGTGTGGAATAGACTAACAATCCCCAAACATCAATTCAACATGTGGCTGATTATGAAGAAGAGACTACAGACAAGACAGAGGTTGAGCAAGTTCCTCACCATTGATACCAAGTGCCTACTATGTAACAATGAGGAAGAGGATAGCAACCACTTATTTGGGGATGCCTATTCTCCAAGCAGCTGTACAGGAAAGTTATGGAGCCATTGGGATGTATACTCCAAGCCTCCAGCTTCCAAGACTACTGTGACAAGTTGAGTAAGTATGGGGCTAGAAGGGAGAGAAGAGTCTGGATAGCAGCTTGGGCGGCAATCTGCTACACAATCTGGAAGGCCAGAAACACAAAATGGCACCAAAGGAGGGAAATGACGGTGTATGAATGTGTATCATATATTAAGTTTAATATACAATGTTTCATTAATAGTAAAATGAGAAAGAGTAGTGTGGTATCCTGTAAGTAGGTTTGAGATGGGAGGATTACTGAGGTTTGTATAACCTACTATTTGCGATGAGTTAATAAGATGTGATGTGGTTCAAAAAAAAAAAGACTTCTACTTTAAAATAGTAAATTACTGTATCCTTGGAGTAGTATTTGAGTGCTATATAACACTCACATGTCTTGAGGAAGTGTTGAGTCATCAGTGCTTGTATACAAAGCCAATGAGCCCCCACTCTCAATACTTAAAAACTTCAAAGATGCTAAATCGGTATATTCATTTGTCACTGCAAATATGTCCACTGAAACACCAGATTGAACAGCAACAGCAGCCTGTGATATACATATGAGCACTTACATATCAAGACCAACTCAGCAATTTGCAAGCAATAAAACATTCATTACCAAATCTTTATAAAATGGCGTCTGCTCAGGAAGTAAAGCGCAGTCTGCATCCTCTCCTTTGCTAGCATATTGTTCACCATACCGTCTTGTGTCTAGTTGGCCAGCTCCATAATCAGGGGGGCCAGATATGAAGGCAAAAACTCTAGCTGTACTTCAGTATAAACAAACGTATCGATAACCTAATCAAATATCCATTTCAAGAAAACATAGAAATGATGGAAACAACAGGTTAAGGCATTCAGCTGCAAAGTAAGAAAATTCAGAGCTCGGGAAAAGTACACAACTAACAAAACGAGGAAACCGCTAGACCTAATGCAAATGTATTTCCGTATTCAGACCCAAGGTAATTAAATAGAGCTTCCATTGCTGATCCAAAGCCTCTTCCACCCAGCAAAACTCCATCTAATCCTTGGCCTGCAGCTGAAGTTCTTTCCCATGAAGTGGTAGGCCGCAATGTCTCAAGTGCAGATGCAATGCAATCTTTGAATGTATCCACCTACAATAAACTGAACATTATGGCTTATGCATAAACATTAAGAAACAAAACCTATAACAACACTCTGACAAACATACTGGAGCTAGAAACGAAGATAAGGGCATGACATCCTCGAGTTCCATAGGCAAGGTACCATCAGATTCGGGTGGGATGAAGACATTCTTCACTACAGGAATAGGTCCTTGAACATCATATAAACCAATTTTATGGCTGAAGGTAGCAAGGCCAAATAGAGATCCAGGCCCAAGACCTTATTTTAAAACATATGAAGCGTGGGATTAGACATCGTGTAACAAACATAAATTCAAAAGACAACCTTTTTTACATTACCAACCTTCCAAGGCAGCTAGAAGAGCACTTTTGACGAGTTCCAAAAACTCCTCTGAGGCTGCACAAGAATTGCAAGGTTATGAATACAATTCACAAGAACATTAAAACACAATACATGAAAAAAAAATTAACAGTTCACATTCGCAAGGGAGAATATTTTGTTACTACTTACTATGAAGGAAATTATTATAAGAAAAAATGGCTTGCTCAAAATTGCTGTTATATCACAAAAAAAGTATGCCCAAGTAAAGTGGCAAGCAGAAACAAGATTTTAAGAATTCATTTGAGAATCCACCTTAACAAATAAAAATTGAAACCCTAACAATATGTTGAACCATGTGCAATGAATAATTAGGTTATACATCTAGTTATCTAACACAACGTCAAAATATTTTTTTGGGAATATCCCCTAAGGAACTAATGGCCTATTTAAAATTTGGGTGAAAATTCCAGCTTCAACACAGATAAAATTGTTTCACCGATTTTGCAACCTATGATATACAGAATAGGTTTTAAATATCCAAATGCATGCCACTGGAAAAAGATTAAGCATACATAGAAGGATGCCAAGATGGAACAATTTGGCAATGCCACACGAACGATTAAAAAGATGTTTGACCATTTCTGTGAGCCTTAAAGGTTGAGAACTATAAAACCATTCAAAGAAAAAGATACAAAACCTATAGAAAGTGTGCCAATTGAGAACTTTGTTTCAATGTATTTGCAACCTATTAGATATGTTCTAAACATCAAAGATTCTAAATGCATGCCACTAGATAAATTATAAACATCCCAATAAGGATGCCAAAATGCCACGATTTGGCAATGGCAGATGCAGAAATCCAATAAACATTCGATCAGCTCTCTGAGCCTCAAGTCTGAGAACTATAAATCTGGCAAAAGAAAAGAGTCAAAACCTAAAGAAATTGTGCCATTTTGGCACTTTCTCTCAGCAGAAGAAAGTAACTAATGGTGGGTACACAAATAATATTTTACATAAAAAAGGAGAAAATAAAAGTTCGTTAACAGTTCAAATCTTATAGACCATACGCAAGGGAAACCAATGCTATTATTTTGCATTTTTTACAGTAAAAAGTACACTAGATGGTGCTGAAAAAAGTATTTGAGGTTTAGGTTGATATCCATGTCTATGATCAAACAATGCAACCCCATATCAAACCTCTAACATGATTTTGCCTGTGCAAGAAATCGCCAATTATCGCTTACCTAAACAACTTGAATTAGAACTGCAAAATGACAGTGAATCAAACAAGCTAACTAGGACTACCTTCACCTACACACTCATTTTAAAACTCACTACACAAAGAGCTCTAACTTTAGTCTTTAAAGGGCTTGATGAAAATACTAAAAAATTACTTGGTGTCAAATATTTCTTGAACTATGTATTCTTCATTTTGTGGCTTTTGGAATTGCATGAGTGGAAGAGAATGCTAGCTCATTGCACTTCACATCAAAGTTTAACCTCTAAAATACCCCTTCATTCTGCTAACACAATTTACTCCAGTAAACACAGTAAAACAACAGAAGATCACAAAGGTTCAACTGAATCGATCACATATTACAGGTAGATCAGAATATACTAAATAAAAGGCTCACACGCAAGATCAACTGCTGCCACATATACAGGACGCGCCTGCATTTCCTCGGATCCTTCCACTGCGACACCACAAAAAAACTAGTTGCAAATACAATACAGTAAAGATCAGGTATATGCACTAATCGTGTACAGTTAAATTCGTGATTACATGGCAACTCAAGGTCAACGAAGGACGACATGTTCTCGGGGCAGGAATCAGGGAGTGAATAGCGAGCAATGGATTGAGAAGAGAGACCATTGAGGGTTCCACAGAGAGCGCAGGTCCAGGCCCACTGCTCCTGCTCGCAGTAGGTATTGTAGTACGCCCAGCAGTTCTCGCACCGCGGCAAAAGGTGTCCGTCCGATCCGTACACCGGCGAAATACCGTTCTCGTCCTTGGTGGCGAACGGCGTCACAGTCACCCCCCACGGCAGCCCCGACACCTCCAAGGCGTCAGGATCGCTGGGGAATCGAGATGCAGCCGCACGCACCGCCATTTCGCAGCTGCTGGCAAAGAGAATCGTTGAATAGTGGGGTTTTTCGAGATTTACTTGGTTCAGAAATCTGAGAGAGTGAGCGCCGGCGGCGCGTTGTTCAAACGTCTCTTTGGCGTGAATTTCCACATAGCACCAGCCAATGGGAATTTGCCACGTCAACTCTCCAAACTCAGACCATCGCGGTCGTTTGGTTCAGCGCAGGGATGACCAAGTGTATTGGGCGGCCAGGCGAGTAGAACCAGATAGTCTCTTAAAAAATGCTATGTGGCGAGTAGACCATCGCGGTCGTTTGGTTCATTCGGTAAAACCGTACCGAACCGAACCGAAATTTCGGTAAATCGAAAATTCGGTAATATTATATTCGTACCGAATACCGAACCGTATTCAATCGGTTCGGTATGGTTAATACCGAAATTATTTCGGCTTGGTATTCGGTAATACCGAAAAAACCAAAAATTTCATTTTTTTTCATTTATACTTCACTTTTGTTTTTATTTTCAATTTGTACCACAAGCAATCTCATTCAACATTTAAAGAAATTAGAAATACTTTATATTTTTTAGCTATAGTTAGTCATAAATTACTTAGTTTTTCATATTATTAAAAGATTATCGAAGCACATGATTTTGATCTTATAAAAAACCGAAATATAAAAAAGAAATAAAAAATGTTTAAAAAATCTTACCTTTAGTCATCGATAATTTATTGCCTACGAAGTGAGGTCAATGTATTGACCATTTAGAATAAATGAAACAAAAAAATTGAAGAAGAAAGAGTCAAATAGTAAGCATGAGAAAATTTAGCTAGATATGAAGTATTTTTTTAAAAATTGAAATTGTGAATAAAAGGAAGGATAAAATAAGGTAGACCACTATATGAATTGCTAGGACTCAAGGTTAGAATTCAAACTTCAAAATATTTAAAATAATAAAATGAAGTAATAATTTGGTATTCGGTAAAAACCGAATTACCGAATTATTGGTGCAAACCGAACCGAAAACCGAATTTTAGCAAAAAGAAAAACTGAATACCGAACCAAATTATTCGGTTTGGTTTCGGTACGTACCGAATTTTTCGGTTTCGGGACGGTTCGGTCGGTTAACCGAATTGTGCACACCCCAAAAAAAATATGTACCAAGACCAATACCGGCGCCGTAGAGGTGAGCATGGTACGGTATGGTACGGTATTTAGCTCGTACCAATACCGTACTAAATATTTGGGTTCGGTATGGGATTTTGCTCCGTACCGATCCCGATCTTGAAATATCGGTTCGGTATGGTTCGGTATCGGTATCGGTACAAATCGGGATAAATATACATACCTACTTTACACATTAAAATTTAACAATACCCCTTTATTTTTGAAAATTAAAAGTGAATTTAAATTAAAAAATATGAAAAATTAAAAAAAAATGAATATTTAAATGCAAGAGATGTGTATCAAAACTTAGCTTATATTTCACTAACTAAAAAATGAATAACAACAAAGGAGTATTTCGAATCTTTGCAAATACTTTTATGTTCATACACAAAAATTAAAACTCAAATAAAAGTATAATTTACACATCATAGAACTTAAACCAATTTTTTCTAAAAAATTCTTATTTAGTGAAGGAATATAAAAATATTACTCTAGGGTATTATTTTCATAATATTTTAGTATATATGTTCGATACAGGATTTTCGGTATGGGACGTCACTTCGTACCATTCTCGAATACCGTACCGACCATTCGGTTCGGTACGGTTCGGTTTCTTCTCGAAACTTTTTCGGTTTGGTATTTTTCGGTTCGGTATTTATAGTTTTTTCGAGAAATTTCGGTATCGGTTTGGTACTTGCTCACCCCTAACCGGCGGTTCTAGAACCCGATCCGGAGACAGTGGCGGAAGGGCGGTAGAGGACCCCGTGTACACGGTCACGGTACTGATTCCGGGGATGAGGGGGCCGTGCTGTAACCGGCATTTCCGATCCGGGTCGGTTTCGATTTTTTTTTTTGATTTTTTATTTTATTAGAAGGGCCCGCCATTGATTTTAATGGGAGAAGCGTGATCGGCGCTCCAACGGCATTCTAGCTGTTTGGAGGCCTTGGGGAGGGGGCGGGGTAATTCTTTTATTATAAATACCCTGCTTTTTTAAACTCTCAAATTTTCTCATTTCTCTCTCAATCTCTCTATAGCACCCTAACCCACAAAACTCGAATACATGGGCTAGCGAATTGAATTGCTACTAAATTGGTATCCAAAACAACTCAAATCCAAAACCATTCCAAAACATTTAATTCAAAATTCAAATATCAATCAGAGTAATTGAAAACATTGCGGAAGCCTTTAATAAAATCTCAACTTGGAAATCAAGCTCATAAAAATCGCACATGTTTTAATTAATAAATAATGAATTCAAATCTACAAACACAGTGGCATATCTCGTTGGGTGGATGAGATTTTTGTCCCCTTCGGAACGACAGTTCATAGATCCTTGTGCATACGTTTATACCCGAATAACCATTGGACCGAGTAGGTACCACATGGCTCTAACCTTTTTATACTTATGGCATATCTTGCCTCTTTTTGATTCAGGTTAAATCTTAGAGTTCCTCTAGAGATATAGATTAATTCAAAGCCAACAATATATTCACAATCGCATAACATTCATGATAGGTATAGTCATATCCAACATAACCAAATATGATCAGACATCGGCCTAACACTGGATGTGAGCACCCATACTTACCGTCATGCAACATACAAGGTCTCGGAATAAATCCTCGGAAGGAAAACAGGTTTGGGAACAACACAGTGGTACTAGGCAGTACCTAGTCCGGTATTGGGTACTAGTACGTACTTGGGTACCGTCCAGGCGGTACCTAATACGGGCTAGGACAGAATTAGCCAGCGGTACCTAATACGGGCTAGGATAAAATTAGACAGTACCAGGGAGGCCGGCCTGTGACGGTAAACAGCTACCGTCCCAGCGGTAGGGTCTACCATCCATCACATACCTAGGTACCAAACGGTTGCAGGTTCCGGTAAAGCCAAATGGCCTATGACGATAGCACGGTACTAGCCATGACGGTACAGCCTACCGTCTGACGTGGAACTTCCCAAATTTGGAACTAGTTTTATTTTTGAGCGGCAACCAACATCCAAACTCGGGACTGTCGGAACGCAAGCTTTTCCTGAACTCTTCAATGCAGTCTATCGGTGTGGATACCTGCGTTGGTGCAAACTTGGCCAAGTGGTCGAACCTTTGGCATAACTTGGCAAGGGTAATGCCTCCTTGTTGTATCTCCAAAAATTTTGTATGATTCTCCTCACACAAGCGGTCGGTATGTATTCCTTCTTAAAAGCATAATCAAAATAGGCCTAAGTCCAAGCTTTCAGCGTCTTCTCGTCATTGTCGACACGCTTCCACCATCTGTACGCTCCCTTCTGAAGGAGTTAGGACATGAGCTTAGGGTGATCCTTCACCAGGACATTCAGACCCCCTAGCACTTGGAAACCAAGTCTATCCAATCAAGCGCGACTTAGGGCTCGGCGATTCTGTCCCCAAGGAACTCCTCTGTTCCAATGTCCTTCAGTGTCTTGAAGGTTACTTTTTGTAACACCCTTATCCGTCCAGGTCTGCAGCCCCTTTCGGACTTAAGTATTAACTTGGTAATCGTAAAAATTTAAAACATTTCAAACATGTTTATTTATCATAAATAATATTCAATACATATTAGTAGAAATACGGAGTGTTTAATAATACGGAAGCGAACTTAAAACATGTCTCATAACATTCATAATTAATTATTTAAACCACACATCCATCACGACCGTCTCGCCCCATCTACCTCTAGGAATAAGTCACTTCATTCTTTTTGTTTACCTGCATGTAGCAAATAAAACATATTACACGCTCAACGTTGAAGCTGAGTAAGCATATCTAATGTATCGAACATCTATATAAATTGAATCTCAATTCATAATCAAATCATTTGATATCATGCACATAATGCTCAGTTCAGATATTCAATAACCAATATCCAATATTCATCACTCAATATTCAACTTTCATATTCAACATTCAACAATATCCTTAAACTGTTTTAGTCTAAGGCCAATATCTTTAATGTTTACCAACCTTTAAATGAATTCTAGTTTAAGATATTTCTAACCAATTCTTAAACTATATTCTAGTTTAAGGTACTTCTATCCAATCCTCAATCTAGGCCTAGTTTAAGATACAATTTTCAAAAGGGTTTTCAAAATCTTAAACTTACCTTCGCTTAAGGTCAACCAGAAACCGAACAGCAGAATGCTCACTATCGGGTTGGGTGGTATCCCCAAACAAGTGATCCTCAAGTTTGGTTTGCGGATCTCATGTAACGCCCTGAAAACCGGCTTAGTAGTTAGCCACATTCTTAATAAAAATAAATATATTATTTATTGATTCCAATGAATTATTTGTAAAGTTGACCATTTTAATTAAAAATTAAGTTTTCGGGTAGATCTCGTAAAATTGTGACCAACGATATATATTTTGTTAAATTTGGACATTTATGTAAAGCGTGGTGAGTAAAATAAAAATTATAATTCGATAAGTAAATAAAAGGATTTTTATAATATAATAATAATAATAATAATAATAATAATAATAATAATAATAATAATAATAATAATAATAAATATTATACGTACATATGTTCCTAAATCCACTAGGATTGTAAATTTGTAATTGCCCAAATCCCTCACCACTATAATAATGCACCGTATTACTTCAATTCCTATGTACCAAAGATGGAGAATTCCTTATGGGTATGAGTTATTGCAACTCAGTATTAGCGCACGGTGGGACTTTCGCTGCTTTGCTAAAGAGAGACGGCCATTGGATATAGATGGGGAAGACATAAAATAAAGTAATAATCTTGTAGTAATTGTAGAATTGCCCCCTAATCTTATTTGGTTTGCAATTTAGCCTTCTTTGTCTTTAATTTGGTTTTAGATACAAGTTTACAAATCTAAGGATCAGTGATAACTATATGTTGAATTGAAATATGGAAACAGACCACCCAGTATATCTAGGAAGGTCTAAGTCGAAACGAACTCATAAGGATTAGGGTTTATGATTTAGGTCTGGCGAGCTTCACATAACTCACAGGTCTTGGGTTAAAAACGTACGTACGGGAGTCATTCGCCTACCTAGGGATTCCTTTGTAGGGGCTCCAACCTGCCCATT